TTGCTATGCAAGCACTCTACCACTGAGCCAAATCCCCAACCCCTCAAAATCAGGGATTTATAAACCTTTGGGCAGTGGGAGGGATTTCGAGGGTGAACCTGTTTGAGTCAACAGGGTCAGGAGGTCAGGGATACTTGATTTGCATGTGGTGATACAGTGCTTCATTTTCCGTGAGGTATCATGGTCCTATCACAAGAAGAAGAACATAGTACCTAATTATCCTAGGGATGAGAGGAAAATCTCCAAGTACAGCTGAAGGTCACTGCTGAAGACTAAGATCCTTAGCAGGGTGGGGTATTTCTAGGAATAGATAGCCAGTGCCCGATTCTGGTCACATTAAGCATCAGGTACAAATCATGTTCCGCTTACATGCAGGCAAACACACATTAAATAAATAATACTTATCTTTTGAGATCTGCTAAACTTTGGCTTATGGCCCAGGCTCTGCAGTATGTTCATGTATGTGACATGTGTACTTGAAAACAATGTGTGCTCTGTAGATGTGAGGGGCCAGTGTTATCTGTGTGGGTTAAAGCAGTTGCTTATTTGTTTTGTCAAATCTGCTTTGTTCCTACCAGTTCCTTTGTCAGCTTGATTCAGAGATACAGGCTTGTTGTAACGGTGAATTTGCCTTTTTCTTGTAGCTCTGTCAACTTTTGCTTTCCAGCTTTTGAGATTATGTTATTTGATGCTTATAAGTTCCGAGCTGTATCTCTGTGGTAGACGATTGTATTGCTGAGTTGTGAAGTCTTTGGTATTATGTTATTCTGGCTCCGAAGTCTCTTATTATTTGCTGTTTACATTGCTCTGGTGTTTTGTTGTGCTTGGCATATGCACATTGTTGTCTGGTGGCTTTTTTCATCATTATATTATAGAAATAGCTCTTTTATTTCATGGCTGGATTTTTTTTTCTTCCCACTGTACTTCTTGCAATGGAGCAAATAAGCATTTTTCTCTAATCAGTGAATAAACAACTAAAATAAAAACCTGATAATTTTTGTAATTGTCTTAAATATTAATTCATTTATTTATTACTTTTTTTTTCTTTCATTTGAGATGTGATTTTGTTATATAGCCCAAGCTGGCCTATCTAAGGCATGATCCTCCTGCCTCAGCTGCTGAGATTGGAGGCATGCGCCAGAGACCCGAGTGCATTCTTGCAAGTGCTGGTTTACCTGAGTCTGTTCCATCTTACTATGTCCTGCTTGTACCCTTTCAGTGGCTCTCATGGGAATAATTCACTTACCCAAGGAAACTTCTTCTCCTGAATGGTACAAGGGTCTTGGTATGTTTTAATTCCAAGCACGCTTCTTCCCAATTTGTGTACTATTGTTATCCAGTAGATTGGTCCCTTCTTATGTTTTTAATCCCCCAAATTACACACCATTATTATTATTCTAGACAATGTTTAGGTTCAATATGGTATTTTTTTTTTTCTTTTTCTTGGCTCATTGCAACTTATCTTTGCTGTGTGGGATAATTTGTTTTTCCTTCCAACTCAGGTTTGTCCTTAAGCACTTAAAAATTTTTTGGTCTTTTTTGGTTCATTTTGCCTTGAGTACATTTTGTTTGCTGAGTAACATACAATTATCAAGAAGAGCAAGTCCTGTTTTTCTCCGCCACGTCTTTTCTCATTCTATTCTCAGAAAAGATTGTGCCCTGATCTACAGTGGCTGTGGATGATTGCTTTATTTGAGTACCTTGAAAATAATATCCTGCCTCTTCTGCTTTTCCTTATCAACACTGGGAAGCCAGCTGTTTGGCTAAGTGCCTGTTCCCGTCATAGGCAGTGTCATTTTGTAAATGCCGTAGCGTGATGGGTGAAGGTGGCACCTTCTAGACTCGGACAGGCTGGATTTAAATGTCATCTCTTCAGTTTGCTAGCTAATTAGCCTATCTCTGGGCCTCAGTTTCCTCTTCTGTCAGATGAGACAGCATCAGTGCCGACCTGAGGATGGTGGAGGGAATTCGGAGCACTGGTAATGTTCTCCACAGTAGCAGACTGTTTTAGTGTTCTTGCTGGCCGTTATTTTTCTTTTTGATTTTTAAAATTATGTTTTTATTGTTTTTGTTTTTGTTTTTTTTTTTTTTAAAGATCCATGGGCCTGTATGTGCCCCATGCATGCAGGTGCCCGTGGCGGGCGCCAGATCCTTTGGAGTCCCAGTTACAGATGGCTGGAGAGTCCCTTAATGTGAGTGCTGGGAACTGACCCCAGTCCTCTGCAAGAGCATCAAGTTCTCCCAACCCCCCCCCCCCAGAGCCCTCTCACCAGCCTCCTTCCCTCTTTAAATAGCGCGTGCACACATGCGGTTGGGGGACATTCGCTCTCCCTGGAGCCAGAGTTACAGGCAGTTGTGAGCCACTAGGCCTGGGTGCTGGGAACAGCACTCAGGTCCTCTGAGAGGGCTGCTGGGTCACCTCTCCAGCCCTTTTCTTGGTGTTTTTTGAGTTTTCGTGTTACTGGGGATTGATGTCTGTAGGTGTGAGATTCCTTCAGTTTTCCTGTTTGTACTCCACAGAACTTTTTTAAACTGTGAATTGCTCTCTTTTATCAGTTCTGGAGAAATTCTTAGCAGTGTACCTTCAAGGGCTGCTTTCACATTTTCTTCCCTCTCTCCTAATTAGTTCGATTAATTAGTCCTCCTCACTCCTATCATTTGCATCTTCTTGACTTTGCTCCACAGTCTCTGTGCTGTGACTATTCTGGATAATTTCTTCAAATCTATCTCCCAGCTCATTAATTGGCTTCAGCTGTGTCTAATATGCTATTAAAACCTATACACCGAGTTTTTAATTTTAATTATGTTTTTATTTCCAGAAGTTGTGTTTGGTTCCCAACTGAATCTGATTGTTTTCATCTCTTCCCTTCCACTCATCTCCCCCTTTAAGTGTTTCATACATTCATCCTGTTCTTTCTGTCTCATCCATCGACAGACTGAACCTCGTGAGACCGGTGGAAGGACCCCTGAATCCAGAGCCAGCCAGAAGGCTTTCAACTGCAAAGGACAGGCTGCTCTTAATGCCTCTCCCGCTTTCCCGCCTCCGTGTCCCGTTTTCTTCCTTTCTCTCTTGTTCTCAATTACCATTTTTGAAAGGCTGATTCATCCCACAGTTTGAAAAAGAAACTAAGTGTGGAGTCTCCCTCCCAGCACTCAGGGCCCGGGGCCTTCCCTGCCGGCAGCCAGCACTTAGGGATCTGTAAAGACTTCCAAATATATTTTATGTGTAGTCAAGCAAATACATATTTAAAAATTCATTCTCTCTGTAACACAAACGGTAGCGTGCTACATATATTGTTCTGCATTCACTTTTTAATAAAAAATATGTTTCTGGTTATGAAAGAAATACGTGCTCATTTTGAATAACATCAATTCCCAAGTGTACACGTGTAGAAAATGAAAGTCTCCCTGGAGTTCATTCCCCAGAGATAACATCTATTTTGCATCTATAAATATATATTTACATAAATGGGCTTATGCAACAGACACTGTTTTCTAACCTATTTTTCCCCCTTTTCTCCCAATAACACATCATGACATCGGTCCATGAATCTTCCATGGCTCGTGTAGCCCCGCATGTCTGGGGCTGTGGAATCAGAGAGAACTGAGTTCCAACATTAGCTGCTCAGCTCCGTAGCTTAGGCCCTTTTATAGCCGGTTGAAGCCTCGGCTTCCTCATCTGTGAGGTGGTAGCACAGAGTACGGCTCCCCGGTTCTGGGACGGCAGTGAGTTCATGCAGGGTGTGTGCCCTCCGGGCCCCAGGAGAGAGGGTCAATTCTTACTGACTCCCTCCCCTGTTTAACAACCACATGGGATTCATGGTCTGGAGATGCTACAGTGTGTTAACAGTGCCCCGTTAGCAGACACTGGATTGTGTCCAGGGTCGTATTACCAGGGCCAGCCCCATGAGCACCCCGTTCTTGTGATTTCTCTGGACTGGGTTATAGGGTCTCCTGGATTCTAATCTCTGTACCCTCTTTTTTTTTTTTTTTTTCTCTAAGGAGGAGGTGAGAGTGCCCTGTGGGGTGAAGCTCGTGTGCTACGTAGGTGTCCCTTCTCTGTCACTGCTCCTCGTCCTCCTTTGCTCTGGGACGCTCGCTCGTCCCTGTCAGCAGAGGTTCCCTCTCTCCTGCCCCCCCCCACCTCCTTAGTGATGCTGAAGCTTAGTATCACTAAGCTTTGAGAGGAACTTTAGTTCCTGTCAAACCTTGCAGCCCAACTTCCCCCTGCACGCGCACACACACACACACGCACACGCACACGCATGCACGCACGCATGCACGAACACACGCACGCATGTCATGCACGCATACACGCACACAGGCTTCCAACACAGTTCCTGTGACTTGCAACATATTAAAAAGAATTAAAGAGCAGTTTAGAAAAAAAGAGAGAAAAGCCCAAAGGAGCCAAGAAAAGGAGGAGGAATTGAGCGTCATGTACAACAGCCCCTCACCCTCTGTCTGCCGATCCTGAAAAGCCACAGCTTCTAGGGTCCGAGGGAGCATTGAGTCTCTTTTGTAGCAGCGGTAAAAAGGGAGCACTAAGTTAGAAACATTCAAATGACTCATCACTCTGAAATAGCCAGGAAGAAATTTCCCTCTTGAGTGATTGTACCTATAGCTTTACAGAGTCCCCGAAAGAGGCATGAGAGATTTTTGAGCGGAAGGGGGTAGAGTCAGGACAGCTGTGTTCTTCCTGGTGGATGGTGAAGAGGAGGGTGACAAGGGTCGTAGTGTAGAGCCTGTTTGACTGGTGGGGATGGGGGAAGGGGGAGGAATGTCAGAGGGGAAGTGAGAGGGTGAGCACAAAGACAGGTGGCTTTGTTCCTGGGACAGAGGCTGGCCAGGCAGCGACACTTAGTGAGCCCTACTGTGTGCCAGGCCTTTATGGACACTGGGCTGTGTCCTAACCCTGTCTCAAGGGAGGTGGCTGGCTGCTGGAGGCCGGAGACAGTCAACGATTGAAGCCAAGGCAGGGCCGTGCTCTCTCCCTGCAGGTCTGGTCTGGGCCGGTGATCCAGCTCCTCGGAGCCATCAGCAGCAGCCAGCCAGGGGGACAGATGGAAGCTCTGGAGGACTGGGCAGAGGTCAGCCCAGCCGGGAGGAAGAGAAAAAGGCTCACGACGCCTCACCCTGCCAGTTTTCAGGTACAAAACCAGCTTCCTTGCCTGGGGGCTAGCGATCAATCTCACCTCCCTGGGTTCCTTCCACCTGGTGTCACTGAGGCCCAGGGTGGGGTGACGTGGCCAAGGTCACACAGACCAGCGTTCAGAGGTAGGTTGGCCTCACTTGGCTGCTCTCCTGGGCTCTGTGGATGCTCTTTCTACTAGGTTTGGGAGTTTTGGGATGTGGGGGGGATGCTCTTCCTCCTTTGTGATTGGCTTTCTCTACTGTGACCCCAGCTGACCCACTATCCCGACATACCAGGTTCCCAGCCATCCGTTGGAATGGGACCCGGTGTGCTTTTAGACAGCTTTTCTCCCAAGCTCCTTAGGGACCTCTCCATAGGGGCTGAGTGGCCATAGGTAAACAGGACCCTCATCTCCCACCCCGCCCCCACCCCGGCACAAGGCGGCCTTGGCTGGAGTGGGCCTCTCTGCCATGCTCGTCTCTCTCTGCAGTGTGACCCTCCAGCAGCTGAGACTGTGGAGCCTCTTCAGCAGAGGGCACAGGACCCAGGTGATGATCCACAGGGCCAGGGGAGGATTCTCAACCAGAGCTTGGCTCCTGCTAGGATCCTTCACTTCCCATCAGTCCGAAGTTCTCCTCCAAAGGAACCGGGCTCCTAGGTCCTTGAGTGGGGAGCCAAACCCTCTTGAATCTGCCCCCTGCTCCCCTTCCCCCCCGCCCCCCGCTGGGCCCCTTGACGTCCCCTGGGAAGGCATGGGACATTTCCTCTGCCCCAGGTGAACAGGAAGCGCTGCCTCTGGGTGTTGAAGTGCGATCCACCGTGGTCCGTGCCATGCAGGAGGTGCTGTGGACTCGGTAAGGCCCTGCTCCCTGCCTCCCAGCTGTGCTGACAGGCTCTCCTGTGTGGCTTCCGGCCAGGCCACGTTTGAGTGCGTGTGAGTGAGTCTGTGAGTGTGTCCCCAAACCTACTTGCTGTTGGGGTGGTCACTGGCCCACACAGCCAGTGTCAAGCAGAAACGGGAACCTGGGTAATACACGGTTTCCATTGCAGTGAGAGTCTGGGCTGCGAGTTCCCAGAGGTCTGAGCCCAGGGTTCTCACAGATGGTGAGACCAAGCTCAGAGAAGGCAGGAGCTGGCAAAGGCCGCACAGCATGTCAGTCGCAGATGAGGGTTACGTGTGCCCCTCCCTTGGCTGACCAACCCCACTCCAGCTTGGTGCTCTCCTCTGGCCTGGCCCTGTCCACACAGAGCCGGTTCCTTTAGCAGGACCAAGCAGCCTGGCTTCGACATGTGCATTGCCGCTGGTCCACTGTGTGGCCTTGGGGTGAGCCCTGAACTCTTGTGAGAGCTCTCCCTAGGTAAATGGACATACCATTTCTTCCTCACAGAGTTGGGGTGGGACTCAACAGGTCCCTGGGGAGACACCCATAACAGAAAGGAGGGAGCCCAGTCCCTGTCCCCTACCCCTGCATCTCCCTGTGGGGCTGAGGGTGTGGACAGTTCCCGCTCAGGCCTTGCTTGTCCCCACAGTGTCCAGGAGCTTCCCGGCCTGCTGCTGAGAGAAGAAGACGTAGCGGGGATTGCAGAGGGCATCGAGGCAGCCCTCTTCCACCTCACCCAAGACACCAACATCCGCTACAAGACCAAGTACCGCAGCCTCCTCTTCAACCTGAGAGATCCCCGAAACTCCGTGAGCAGGGGAAGGTTCAGCCTGCCCAGCCCTCCCTTAGGGACAATAGGAGCCGACAGTACATCGGAGTGGGCGCTGTCAGGGTGGAAAGGTGCATTCTCTCTCCCCACAGGACCTGTTTCTCAAAGTGGCTCACTGTGATGTCACCCCCCATGACCTGGTACAGATGAGCTCAATCCAGCTGGCCCCCAAGGAGCTGTCCCGCTGGCGGGACCAGGAGGAGAAAAGGGTGAGCTGCGTAGACGGGTCACAAGAGGTCAGAGGGCATGTGTGTGCGTGTGTTGTGTGTGTGTGTGGGAAGGTCCTGCAATGGAGGAGGGGAACAGAGGAAGCAGTACAGATGGACAGTCAGGACTGACGAGGAGCTGGAGAAAACAGAAAGCAAGCCGGGGAGTTTTCCAGGACAAAGGGAGAAGAGGCCACACTCTGCTTTTTGTTTCTCTGTGGAGCTGGGCCTAATATGAGTGGAGGGGTTTCCACAAGCAAGGCCCCAGTGCTCTTCGCAACCTCGGGTTTGGAAAAGGGACCCCACAGTTCCACCCTCTTCAGTCAAGTCCTCCTTGCCCTGCCCGAGGGCTTTGCCCTGCGTGGAGCTCTTGGGAACAGAGAAGGCACATCATTGGGGTGGCTTCTGGGAAGGCTGGCGTAAAGCTTAGTGACCAGAGGCAGATGGGATTGGTCCAGGGCTGAAGTGGAGAGGGTGCTAAGATGCCGGGAGAGCTAAGGACCCAAGTCCAACCGGTGGGTCCATCTACTCAGCTAAGTGTTTGCTCCAGGCCCGGCAAGTGTCACAGGATGGGAGCGGCTGTGTAGTGTAGGGGTCAGCGCAGTCTCTGTGCAACAGCCGTTAAGAATTCCCGGGTGGGGGCTGGGAAGGGAGCTCAGCTGGTAGAGCGCTTGCCGCACAAGTGTGACACCCCGAGTTCGAGCTCCAGTATCCATGTAAAAAGTCTGGCAAGATGGCGTGCATTTGCAATCCCAGTGTTGGCTGGGAGGTGGAGATAGGCAAGCCTAGCTTGGTGTAAGACCTTGTCTCAGAAAGTACGGTGGGTGGCTCCTGAGGAAGGACCCTGAAGATTCATCTGTGGCTCCCACGTGCGTTTGTACGCACGAGCACACGCACCCAGCCGTCCACTGTGTATACCCACATTTGTACAAGCAAGGATGTCAAGGTAAATGAACACGGGGCCTGAACCGAGTGTGAGCCCAGTGTCCACGCCCTCATCATGGAGTCCGCCTGTCTGGGGGTGGGGGTACAGGACCCCTCTCCTCCTGCACCATCAGAAAGGAGAGACAGGCTTCCAGGTCAGGTGACGTTGATCAACAAAGAGAAAGACAGCTAGCTAGTGGCCGCGATGAGCCCGGAGCGAGGCTGCGCCCTCTGTGTGTGTTTATTAATATCGTGCTCTTAATCCCCAGAGAATAGATAAACAGGCTTAGGGCAACTAAGTGATGGCCCAAAGTCACACTAATCCTTAAATCTTTATTAATGGCCTGTCTGGGACTCAGCTTGCATACTTGTTGCAGACACCACAGCCTCCCTGGGGCAGGGCGGGGTGGGGTGGTCAGGGGCATAATGGACTTGGGTGAAGGCCAAGTCCAGGAGCGTTTCTTAGAGGAGGCAGGACTTGCATGGAAGCTGGAGGGGTAGGGTTGAGGGGGCTGGCTTTCTAGGTGAGCAGAGAGAGAGAGGCTGGGAAATGAGAGGAGGCCCCGAGGGAGAAGCCTGGAAGGAGGGAAGCGAGTGACCGGTGCTCTGTTGCCAGAGGCCCCTGACAGGTTTGGCTTCGCCTCTGCAGGGCCTGGATATCATTGAGCAACACCAGAAGGAGCTGTACCGACTCCCTGCCTCCAAGCTGACTCACAAGGGTGAAATTGAGATCCCTCGGGACTCAGACCAGATGCTGACCCTGGAGGACCTAATGGTAAGGGGTGACCTGGCTTAGGCACAGGTACCGACTCCTCGTCCTGCTAACTGTGGCCATTTCCTACTCCATGAGCCCCATGGTCAAGGTTTAGCAGGGACTACTGCCCTTCCTGTTCACTAGTGGCAAGTAGGCCTGGTGCTTTTAGTTCTTTTAGCCTAACTCCAGAACACTTACATGAACGATGCTAAAGCTTGTCACTGCAGTCACCCCAGCGCCAGCCATTCTGCCTTCAGGCAGTGGCTTTTCTAGAGGTGAGAGTTGTTTTATCAGTGGGTTTATTTGCTTGGTGTTGTCATAGGTAAGGAGTCACCCACAACCCTGGGCAGTCCTGCCGGAGGCCCTCCTGACCTTCCCCTTGCACCTGGAGGAGGTCCAGTATCTAGGCCTTTCACTGAGGGGTCAGCTTCATCCCCTGGCACAGCCTGTACCATCCTCCAGCAGAGCGCCTCCATCTTGCTCACAGCCCGCTTAGGACAGCGGCTCATCTGCAGCATGGCTCAGTGCCCTGTGGCCAGCCTTCCCCTTGCCCCCACATTCTTCGCTCTCAGAAGGCCGCTCTGCCTTGGGTGGGGTCTCTGTGGGTCAGTTGCCACCTGGTTCTGATCAGAAGATGGGGGGAGGGCAGGCACATCCCTTAGCTCACGTTCATTCCCTTAGTACAGATTTGTTGAGCCTCGCCTGGGTGCCAGGCCCTGGGGGAAGTGACAGCGGGTGTGACGAGACAAAGTCCCTGCCACCTCCTACCCCCCACTATTCAAGCCAAGAAGAATCTTGCTGCCTGTGTAGAGAGGTGCCCTCGGGGGACACAGCTGCTCCCCAGCCTAAGCCGAGCCACATTCCCTCAAGAGGCTGGATGTTAGCGTTGGAGAGGGACATGGAGAAAGAAGTGTCAGGAGAAGGGAAGAAAGGAGAAGGGGAAGGTGACAGAGAAGAGCAATCTCACTCCTATTGAGTACCTGCCCTGTGCCCCTTTTGCAAACAGCACCTCATTTGAACGTGGCAATTACTGACACTGCCTGAACCCCGAGGCGTTGACTCAGCTTATATGTAGTGGGCAAGAGTGGAGCGGAGATTCGAGCCTGGCAGCGCTCTGAGGACCTATCTTTTCAAACCTTCCTCATGCAAGGGATTTCTGTTATGAGGGGGAAGGTGATTAGAATATTTATTCTCCCGGGTTCTGTCACCTGCTTCTGAGGACTTGACCTAAGGAGGGGATGCAAAATTTAGGAAAACACTCTGTGCACAAAGATGCCTTCGGGGCTTCGTGCTAGTGACAACTGGAAGTGACCCGAATGTCTAGCAGTAGAGGTGACAGTCTGCCCACGGGGTCTAGAGAGGGGGGCAAATGTCTCTAGTGCAATTAATGGGGAAAAATGAGAATACAAAGAGTATCTGACCCCAGCCATCATAGGAGGATCCCCCAGACCCGTTGCATAGAGAAACCGTGAAAGAACAACCCAGCGTCTCAACAGCTGTCTGAACAAATGGTGTTTTCTTTGTTTTGTTTTTTTTTTTAAGGCAATTTATTTTTTTAATTTCCCAAGTTTTCTTTACAGATTCCCAGTGTTTTGGAATATAAAAACATATTTAGAAAAATAAACCACATTCTTGAGGCTCTCTGCCTATAGAGGGCCCCTGACCTTCCTGGCCACCTCGCCATCCAGTCCTCCCTGCTCCTGTGCTTTCCAGGAACCCATGATGCCCAGAGAGTGCAGCCCACGGGCTCTGAGGACGCCCCTGGAGGACACCACAGATCAGCATCAGCACCACTTCTGGGACACCAACTGCGCCATCTGCAAGGGTGGGAAGGAAGGTGGGAAGGAAGTCAGCAGTAACCAGCCGGAGCCGGATGCAGGCAGCAGCCACAGCATGGGTGGGTAGCCAGTTGGAAAGTGTCAGAAAGGGTCTGCCGGTGCCGCAGGTCACCTTGGAATGAGGCTGGCTCAAGCCTCGGCCGTCAACCCTGTGGGCTGGCTCCTGTCTCGGCAGAACACATTTCAGCTCTGGCCTCTGCTCTTTGCAGGTCGGGAATCCTCAACTGAACTGCCAGGCTTCCCCGGGGCCATGAGGGACACGGAGGAAAATGTCATCCAGAAAGCCCCAAGTCCAGCTCTTGTGTCCTCTCCAGAGATGCTCAAAGCTGGGGAGACACCTCCCAAAGAACCGCAGGAGAGGTATGGAGCAGCAGCCAGGAGGGTGAGCAACCGGGAAGCATGGGCGGGGAGGCTGCCAACTGGAGCTTCAACGTGCACACGCCACAGGAGCTCCTCCCTTTACCACCTTAAGTCTTCCCGTGTCGGCGTGCCTCTGTTTTCCATCTGTGAAATGGAACTCGTGCAGCTTCCTGGTTCCCTCCCGCTCAAGGCCATGCTTAGATCGGTGCTCAGGTCTCTGCAGTGAAGACACAGCACTGGCTCAGCAGAGAAAGGGGATCCTAGGGACAATGTAATAGATGACTCTGCATGACCCTGTCCTGTCCCTGCTTCTAGGCTCCAGGTGCCCCCTGGGCCCAGAGGTACCCTGCTAAGCCCTCCACCCTGGGAGGGCTCGCTAGACATGTTTTCCATCAAGCATTTCCGGGCCAAGGCACAGCTGATCTCAGGGCACAGCTGCCAGCTCGTCCAGGTACTCCACTTCTGCTTTCAAGGAGCCCCATTGGTAATTTGTCCATTGGTTCTACAAATCACCAGTGAGCCCCATGCTAACTGAGCAGGAGGGCAGAGTAGCCTGGTTCTGAGACACGCTGAGGCTCATAGCTCTACCCCAAGGCATAAGGCGAGGGAGTCTCAGGGAGAGAGCATCCTGGGGCCTCTCTGTTCACAGGAGGGTTTTAGGAGCGATTGTTGAATGACTGATGAGTGAGTGCCCATAAGACTTTGGCCAGGATGGGCTGTAGGTCTCCAGGGGCAGGTAGAGCTAACTCTCTGGGGGAGTCCTTGGGAGTTTGGAGACACTGTCTGCTCTTCTCCCCAGGCTTTGGCCTGAGGTAGTGGGAAGTGAGAGGGTGGGAAGCCGGGTGCTGACCAGTCAGCTGCCCCCAGGCTCTGCCACAGGTCATTCGTTCAGCCGGCTGCCTCCCTCCCAACAAAGTCTGGGATCTTCTAGACCTCGTGTGCCCAGCCAGGGCAAAGGTAAGCTGCCCTTAGACTACCCTCTTCTGCCTCTCCTTCTCGGCTCCTTCCCTCCCCATCTAGCTTAGCGAGATTCCCCTTCCCCTGCTTCTTCCTAGAGTACCGGTTCTCAACCTGTGGGCCGCACCCCACACCAGCTTTGAGGGTCCAATCACCCTTTCATGGGGATCCCCTATTGGATATGCTATCAGAAATTTACATTAGGGTTCATAACAGCAAGATTACAGCTGTGAAGTAGCAACGAAAATAATCTTACGGCTGTGGTCCACTACAGCACGAGGACCACACATTAGCTACACACATTAAAGGGCCAGAGCATCAGAAAGGCTGAGAACCACTAATGCGGGGGAGTCCAAGTGCACCTGCAGGCCCAGGGGGTGGCTGCCCCCTTGCCACTTCCTCCGCATCCTCCAGGACATCTGCGCTGTCAGACTCTGTCCCCACGGGTCTCGGGACATCCACAACTGCCGGCTGCTCTACTCCTACCTCAACAACAAGCAGTGCCACTGCCTGGCGTCTGTGGAACCCGTGAGGATGGTCGTGCTGCCCCTACCGGCCTTCCAGCCTCTGCCTGCCAGACTGCGCCCTCTGGGGGGCCCAGGTGAGAACCAGTTACACACCCAAGTAGAACTACAGAGCAGCCACTTTTGATCGAAGTAAGTGTTAGCAGGACAGTGGCAGATCCAGACAATTCACTGGAAAAGTCGTAGCAGACAGGAGGGGTAGGTGTTCCTCGGCTACTCTAGCCAGGCTGGGCTCCAGGGCAGGGATTAGCACAGGCCTGGCCCTAGGAAATCATCTGTGGAAAAGGACTTTTGGGACTCAAGAGCAGGATGTGCCTGCCTGCCCTGAAGCAAAAAACAAACCTTAAGATCTTCCTGGGCTACAGTTCCCAGTAGGCAGATTGGCATGTCCTCCATCAGGCAGTTCTGGGCAAAAGCCCAGCTTGCATTTGGAGGGACAGAGCTGCCAGCTTGTCCGGGTACACTTTCTTTGTTCACAAGGTCCCCCTCTATGATACAGTCACCTCGTTCATTCATCCATCCATTCATTCATTCTACAGTAAGTCATAGCCTCGCTTTCTGGTAGGCTCAAGGACAGATAATACACCTTCCTAAGCCTTGAGGCCAAACGATCCATGCTCTACCCTCTGCCAGGTGACCACTGATGGCTAGACCAACCATTCTGAGACAGGCTCCACTTGCCTGTTGTCTTTCCCCCACCTTACTGCCAGGAAGCTCTCGTGATCAAACCTGCAGATCCACTGCAGCTTTCGGGGGAGTCCGTGTTGACTTCCTTTGGGTCTTGGGACCCTTCCTCCTCCTTTGTTCAGGACTTGAAGCTACTCACACAAGCCTGTTGCTGGCTGTGCTGTTCCCTAAGGATGGGATTCCAGACGAAGCTATGTCCATCCGCGTGTGGAAGAAGGTTCCAAAGACTGTCTCTTTCAGCAAGAAAGTGGAGATGAGACACTACCAGCCAGAGGACAGGAGGTCAGAGGCCACCCTGAAAGGATCATCTCCCCATGAGGAGGCCCCAAAGCAGAGCTTGGCCAAGGGCAACCCGCCTCCCAGGAGTGTTTGTGCTCCCCAGGGCCTCCCCCGAGGCAGGGGGAGACAAGAACCTGGGTGGGGACAGTGGTTCCCAGAAGCAGGCTGGTGCCACCCCCAGCACTCCAGTCCAGCAGGACCAATTTTCACTGGCAGTGGCCGTGGACAGCACCTCCATAGGGCCTCCTGTTTGCACCAAGACCTACTCCAGCACCTCAGGGTCTTAGTGTCTATGACTCAACAGTTCCAGGCCTCACTGTGGCCCTCTGGCCAGGAGCCACTCCTCCCATCCTCTGCAGGATCTGCAGTTACAGATCCTGGGCCAGTCCCAGACCCTCCTTTGGGGTCTGTGGATGGAGGTGGCTCTGATTGTCCCCTGCCAGAGAGGCCTAACCCTTCAGACGCCCTGGAACAGGAGTGTTGATTCCCTTAACCAATGTTGAACCAGAGGAAAGGCAAGTCAGCTCTCCCGCACCTGCCCAGTCTGTGTCTGTTCTGCAGTCGGTTTGATGTTGATTTTTGGTTCAAGAAAAACTTGGCAAAGTAAGAATTGCATCTGATGGCTGTGTAGGAGTCTCTAGTCCCGTCCAGGTGTGGTTTGATGTGTCTTTGAATTTTTGTGCACAAATACATGACCCCCAGTTGCTGATTGGGAATCTTGAATCATCACTTTGCCCCAGGACAAAGCCCTTGCCATGTGGCTTCTGGAGGCATTTAAAGAATACTCTGTGAGGCGAGGGTGGACACGCACACCTCTAATCCCAGCACTCACGAGGCAGGGGCAGGTAGGTCTCTTGAATTTGAGTCCAAACTGTTCTACATATGGAGTTCCAGACCAGCCAGTGTCACACAGTGAAACCCTGTCCATGGTGGCTATTCCTCATGTCAACTTGACTGCATCTGGAATTAACTAAAATCTAAATGGCTAGGTACGCACACCCTTGAGGGATTTTTTTTTTTCTTTAAATCATTTGAAGCGGGAAGACCTACCTCTAAAGTGGGTCTTTGAGGTCTTTAATGCAGATCTTCTGAGGTGGGAAGAACCACCTCTAATCTGGGCCACACCTTCTGCTGGCAGCCTATATAAAAACATGGAAGAAGGACGCTGGCTCTCTCTTTTTTGCCTGTTTGCTGTCTAGTAAGTCCACTCCTTCCCTGGCATTAAAGCTTATTTCTTAGGGACTTTCTGGTGTATACTGAAGACCGGCTGAGACATACAGCCTTGTGGACTGAGCAACTACAGTGTTCTTGGGGTTTACATTGATATACAGCCATTGTTAGACTACTTGGAACACAGCCTGAAAGCCAGCATATATCTATATATAGAGAGAGACAGAACTTATGTATATGTATATATTATATGTATATATGTATACATATTTGTAATATATATATATATATATATATGCTTTAAGTTCTGTTCTTCTAGAGAACCCTGACTAATACACTGTCTCAAAAAAAAAAAAAGTCTGAATCAATAGGGAAGTATCAGTGGAGGGAGAGAAGACACACCCGAAGGGCACAGCAGGGAAAGCTGTTTAGGAAAGCTCACCACTCGTTGTTAGGATGTGCACGCGCACCCGTGAGCCTCGGAGGTCAGAGCGGAGCTTCGGCATCTTCCTCTTTTTACCATTCGCTTTACTGCTTTAAGACAGGATCTCTCATGGAAGCAGACATTGACCGTTTTGGCGAAGCTGTCAGACTAGCCAGTAATCTTCGCAAATGAGCTAGTTGCTATTCCCCTTGCTCTAACGCTGGTGCTAACAGGCGCTTAGCCACTGGGCCTTCTCTCCAGCTGTAGGAGTGCTTTTTTTTATGTCTGAAGTCAAATTTATTTTCTTTTGGTTGGGTCGGTGGGTAGCACAGGACACAATGTTCCCTAGGAGTCTGTGTCCCTGTGTTTTTGTGAGGGTCTCTCAATACATGCTTGTGATCGAGGGTTTGTGTGTGTGTTGGGGAGGGGATGTGTTTCTCTGTTGAAGGTGGATGATTTCCGAAGGTCCTGCCAACTGCAGGAGACAGCCAGGGTCTAGGCCTGAGAAGACGTTGGGGTCTGGGTGAGGTTGGTATAAAGGTTGCCTCGCCTTGGATCTGGAGTGAGCTTCTCCCGGCAGCTTTGTGTCTGGAGACTGACTGGCTGCCCCAGAATGATTGACCCAGGGCCTCGCCCTTTGCTGTAGCATCCCAAACATGCCTCATTTTGAAGCCTGCTGGACTGGAAAGGGAGAGGAGCCCCCTCTTTCTACCCCAAGGGCTCTGCGGCTGCCCTACCCCCAGCCGACAGCAGAGGGGGCCCTCTGCCTTGGGATGGAGGTTGGGGCTGGCAGGACCGAGGCTGAGCCGGGGGCGGGTGAGAGAAAGTGGGAGGGGTTGGAAGTGAGGGTGGTGGGCGAGGGTGGATTGGAAGTGGGAGCAACGAGCGTGTGCCGCACAGGTGAACCAGAGAGAGAGGAACGGGGCTCTTGAGGGAACTCCCATGGCACAGAAGGCACGGGAAATGCCGCAGCTTCAGCGCTAAATGCAAATGATGCGAATTACTATGCAAACCTGCAGCTCCCTGTCGGAGCCCGCAACTTGGGTGGCTTTCCCAACGCAGCAGAGCTTGGGGAGAAAGCAACGCAGGCCTCTCTCTGGCTGTGGCTCTCTCCTGGAGAGACAGCGGAGGCACCGAGGAAGAGCCGGCTAGCCTTTGCCCTTCTCCGGGGCCTGGCCGTCTGCCCTTAGAGCTTCAGTTTGCCCTAACGCGACCTTCTGACAATTCGCCCCAGGGAGCGGGGTAGAGATGGACCCCGAAACTCTGCAGCCTGCCTCGGGGTGGGGGGCTGAACATATGACCTCCCCCCCCCCCACACCTTCTGCTCCTAGTTCCCAAGCCCTTTGCTTATCTCTTGATGGGGACCGGGAAAGCAGCTTGGCATGACGTTGCTAGGGGGTGTGATGGGCGGTTGCTAGGTTCTAGGAATGTTGCTATGCAACGCCGGGCGGGGCCCTGGTTGCTAGGCCGAGGAGGAGTCGCCCGCTGCCCAAAGGGTTTTAGAAGAACTATGTCCGCCCCTACCGGGACCGGTGTCGACGCCCCCAGGCTGGGCGCAGTCTCCAGGGTTCCTTCCGGTTCACACCCTCTGTCACTCCGTGATCCTCTGGGCTCCGGAGCGAGGAACCCTGGGTCTTTGTACACGTGTTGCAGCGCCTGCTGGTGAGGGGGTAGGGGGAGGATGTCTCTTTTGAGTTTCCATAGCAACTGCTCCTGTGTCACCGTATTGCTCCCAAAGGTTTAAGCAGTTGAGTGTACAAATTTACATATATCTGCATGTCATTAACATAGAGGCGGAGCCCGAACTTGTTTGGGCAACTATCCCTGGACAGTTCCCCTGGCTTTGCTTTCATCCCGTCTGATGGCCACCTGGACTGCGCATGCGTGAGTGCTTTTACTTCTCCGTGTTCTTGGCTTTGAGGTGGGTGGGAGACTTTTGAGGGTGACCATGAGCTCAGGTCCTTACAGAAACATCCTAACCGAAGATTTTGTTCCCTGAGCAACAGTGAGACTTGTTGGACCTCAGTTCTGCCTTTCCTGCCTGTGTCATCTTAGGTTGGTGCCCTTCTCTGTGGCTCGGTTTCCTTCTCTGTAAAATAATTTCTAACTCACTGGGTTATGTGAGCGTTTGTGGGCTGCCACGTTGGCTCACCCTCGTCGGTGTTCTGGCACACAGTGGGGCGGTGTGTGCTAACTCCCTGCCTCTCTCCTCAGAGCCCAGTTCCACTCAGAACCTAGGTAAAGCAAATGAACTTCCTTTGCAGCTCCAGACATGACAGGAGGAACTTCCAGGTGTCAGGGCAGACTGGATTCCAAGCATGGGATGAGAACTACTGGCCAGGCCAGGTTGGTGCACCTGGACCCTGTCCTCTCACTCCACTGTCACCCTCAAGGAGTCCACTGTGTGGGGAACCCTTATATCCCTACCCAGTTCTGGAGCTTAAGGTGGTCGCAGGCCCAGCAGCTGGAAGGCTGGAGTTAGACGCCCATGATGGAGCAGGGGGCCGGGTGAGGAGAGTAGAAACTTTGCTCTGAGATTTGCATGTCTGGGCTTTCACCAGAGGGGACTGAAGAGCTTGGGGCAACTCCCTTGTCGTTCTTGGACCTCAGTTTCCCTACTGAGGACACTTGGGAGTGTCTGCTACAACAAAGGTGTGTGTGTGTGTGTGTGTGTGTGTGTGTGTGTGTGTGTGTGTGTGTAGAGCTGTTTTGAGGCAGCAGCAATGCAGGGAGTGAATTCCCCGTTCTTGGGACTACGTAAGCAGAAGTGTGGCTGGAATGGAGCAGAACTTCCGGGAAGCTGCCTCCTCCAAAGGTGGAGCTCCTTCCTAAGCCTGACTTCTGTGTTTTGGCAGAGGCTCTCTTTCTTTCCTTTCTCCCAGTGTCCTTCTAACCTTAACCACCTCGACTGCTAGAGCCACAAGGAGGCAGAAGAGGCATTAAAGGGCGAAAGCCAGTTCCATTCTGTGCCGGGGATAGCTCTCATTAGGTTTAATTAAAATAAATAGGCTGGCTTCCTGTCTTGGGTAGACTGTGGTTGTTGGTGATGAAGAAGGGCATAGGAGCTTGGCTCTGACTGGTCATTTGGCTTCTGGGAGGAGCTAGGACTGTTTTCGGACTAGATTTTGCAGGTGTCGTTCTGACTGCCGTATGCAGGACAGCTCTCTGCTGGCAGTAGACCAGGCTCGTCCCTGTAGCCACCTGTGTGCCACAGGTGAGAGTTCCAGGGACAGGCTGAGAGCCTGGCAGTGCCCGGCTGGCCTGCTCGTGTCCCACTCGAGGGGCCAATTAAGTCTCTATCCCTAGCCGCGCCGATTAACAGTTAATAAGGCAGCAAACACCTGCAGCTACGGAGGCGAATTAAGAGCAACAGTCGGCATAATACACAACCCGATAAGTGAGCAATTAACAACCGGAGAAAGATTAATAGAAGCAATTATGTCCTACTTGGAGCTCTGTAAATACATACGACTGTCAAGCACTGGGGAATTCAGTCCAGTCTCACCTGGCTCCACCCCGGCCACAGCCTCTGCAGGCAGTGGAGACACTTGGGCTAGTCTGTAGGGACTAGATCACACGGCCGGCCAGTGGCACGAGGGGCACGGCAGGATATGTACACAAGAGCATAGACATCCGAGCATACCGAAAAATGGCCCACAGGACACACCCCAACCACAAAACTCACATTCACAGAGATGGATAGACGCAGACACATGGAGGCCCTTCCTGAAACATACACAGACCTGCAGGAAAATGCCCACTGGGCCACAGAGAGAAACTCACGTGTCACACAGAGCGAGGGCCACACGATGTATGACTCATATATGATCTGAATGTGGACATATGAATGCATAGCTTCGTGGGGTCACATTTTCATATTTGCCCACCATGTTTGCCATCTTCTGAGGCCGCATTGTAGAGAGTCATCTTGCTGAGAGATAGAGCATGGGAAAAATGGAGTGAGGGCAGGAAAGGACACGGAGGGGCAGATGTGTATGAAC